ATGTATAAATTTTAGTCACTCTGTCTGCTTTTCTTTGTTTCTGTTGGTGGCTGTTGAAATTTTTAATTTTTTTAGGTAATTTTTGTTTTGCTATTCATTCATTTTGTCATTCTTTCTTCAGTCATTTACATCAGTGGTTCCCAAACTTTTCAGCTTTTGACCCACAAAATACCAGCAGCAGAGACCTGTGTCCCCAGCTGTTGTCAGCTGATGAACATAGTTTTCACGTTAAATAAACAAGAGCATACTAACATTATTTATTAGGATATTTTTGTCCATTTAAGTACAACACTAATCTTATTATTTTGTAACAACAAAAGGCAAAAAAATTTCTTAGATGTCATTTTTCAGCGTAATTAATTCAGAAAATATTTTCAGGACCCCACCTTGATGTTTCAGGACCCCACTGTGGGTCCCGATCCTAACTTTGGGAACCAGTGATTTACATCAATGCCTTTGATGTGGACCTGTTTTCTCCAGAACCATTTTGACAATCTGACAGTGTGCTATGCTTTTGAATGGAGGCATCATGTCTTTGAATGAACAGTTTTTGCAGGATTTTAGAGAACAGGCAGAGTAATGATACTGGCCTGTAATTAGTGAAATGTGTTTGTCCCCAGCTTTAAATATTGAAGTAACTTTGGCAATTTTCATTTGATGTGGAAATGATCCTGTTGTGAATGATAACCGCACAGTATATGTGTTTTTGATGAAACTTAGTTTGATCTTGTCTTTTTGCAASTGTTAATGTCCTTATGTGTTTTTTCCTTCTTCTTTTGTTCGTCTGTTTGTTTATGTCTTTTTTGGGAGATTTTGCATCTCATCCTGACAAATTAGGTCCCTGAACCTGTGTTCTCATTAGGTCCATTCAGCAGTTCTTCCATGCCTGAGACTGAATCAGCAACTCTGCAGCCTCTGTTTCCACGGTTCACTAAACAACCCGGTGTTARGGTGCTAATTCCCAGGCTGCCCCGCATTTCTTCTGATACTCTAACAAATGAGCTGAGAGCTTCTCAGGCATTTCAAGTAGCTGCACTAAGAAGTGATGAAATAAAGGCCGGACACAGACGTGGATGGATGTAAGTGAACCTTGAGAGCGCTTTCATTCTGCTCTGCATGACTCCAATTATGTGATTAATTAAAAAAAACTTTAATCCAGTGAGTTAAGAGATGACAAATGAGTCAGTTCTCCTGTCTTTAAAGAATGAAGTGGAGAAAGTGTGGACTGTGTCCTCCTGGGAATACTAATATACGTGAAGTGAGTTTAGTCAGTCAGCTTCATTCATCCTGACTAAATGGGATTTTATTCATAGTAAAAAAAATAATCTGAGCAGATTAAAAACATTAGCAGTGTTGTACATTGTAAGGAAGAGTAAAAAAAGACATCTTGTAACTGAGATCAGTTCTCAGGTCATGTTAGGGAGCTTTTACATCCATTAGTTTGGTTATTTTGATCTAAATCAGGGAGCTTAAACTCAGGGGATCAAAATTTATAACTTGGGTCAAACCAAGAGCCAAGTTCTGTCAGTATTCATTACACATAAATCTTATATAACCAATTATTCTTATAGAAATACAAAAGGCCTTRAGAACACATTGTAAATATAGAATTAATGCATGCGAACCAATAAAAAATACATCATTTGTTTCTTATGTCTTACTTTGTATTACCAAGTTTTCACTTATTTTTTCTTATCGATACATTTAATCACAATCCAACAAATCAGATGGGAAAAAAGGGAAAACCCTCACAAAAAATCCAATTATTTGACTTGGAAATAAGAAGAATTCAAACTTTATTTTCTTGGCTTGAAAGTCCGCCTGCTGTCATAACGCACAAAATATAAAAAACTCCTTACTTCACATTTAAAGGATTACCTTTGGGGATAGATATAATGCTAACGAGGGCCAGATTTGGCCTGCAGGCCTTCAGTTTGACACAATTTAAATTTGTTGAAAAGACATAGCCAATTTTCATTCAACAAATTTTGGTTTATTTTATGAGTGAAACTTTAGTTTAAAAAAAGCTGGTATGGTGTATTAGATTTAAGCTGAGATTTAGTTGAAGAGTTTGTCATCTTATAAACCCAGTGAGCATAAATGGATTCCAGTTGAGTCTGCTATTAGCTTCATTATCAAGCAGCAGGTGATAAAACTGGCCTCAAAAACACAAGAATTCAGTCACTTTGTCAGATTTTGACCTCAGTGTGGCAGTAGTTGGATTGATTTTCCCAGCACTTACTCTGAGCTCAAACAGATTCTGCAAAACCTTTGTTTTAAACGCTGCCAGTATCTATTTGCAGTGATCTATATTTACACTGGTACAGTGTTAGAGGCTGATAATGACAAACCATTTGTGACACTGGAAACTGAACTGAGGAGAACGTGCAGTCGGACTGGAAATGAGAGGGAAAAAAAAAAACAAGAGAAGTGCCCCACCCTGCGCAGAAAATAAAACAAAGAGCTGAGAGAGCTGCTGTTTCTCCCACTGAAGAAGGATGATGGGAACAAATTTGACTCCGCACTTTTAAAAAATGCCTTGTTGATGTGGGAGAATGATGGATCTGTCAGCAGTTTGTTGTTGTTGAATCTCCTCTGCATGCAGAGAGGAACAGTCAGGACTATTGTTCCTGTACAACCACATGTATAACTTTAGTTTGTAGATTAGAACTCTGATTTTACATGAACTTGTGCATCCACTGGGCTAACTGGTAACTGGTTGGTCTTGTTTGTGATGGACACCAGTGACCCCCGTGACCCTGAAAGGAAGAAGCAGGTAAAGATAATGGATGGATGTGTCTCTACAGAGCATGATCAGTATAACCAAACTGWCTGTGTCAGTCTTAAGCAGAACCTCTGTGGTTTCCTCAGGTTGCACAGCTGGAGCATTTTGAGAGCTGCTCCTAGAGAAGATCCACCAGAGAGCAGAGGCACCCTGAAGGTCTGTAAACATGGCCCCTGTGTGTCTGCAGGAGCTGCTGCCGCCTCAAAAATAATGAAAACAAAGGAGGGGGAAGAGAACATATTCTCAAGACATGGAGGATTGTGGTGGTAAATAAACAGCACATCTCTGAGGACTTGTTCTATTTCAAGAAAYAAAAAAAAAACCCTTTCAGGCTGACCCCCATTCCCCCCCACAAAAAACACACAAAGATACTCGCTTTCTCTTTTTTTCCGTAAACAAAAAAGCAAGTTTGTCCCCGGAGGAGGAAAAACTGAGAGCGAAAGATGGACTATTGACTAAATAAGGAGCTCGGAGCGAGAGCCATCAGCTTTTAAAAACGACTGCTATTCAGGCTGAGATAGAGAGCGCTTCTGAAAGAAAAGGCAGAGGACTGAATGCAGAGATCATCACAACTGGGCTCCACTCCCTGGCCTTCATCATGAACGAGTGCTTAACCCACAGAGTCACCATTCGCTTTGCTGTTTCAAACTGATTTGCACAGACTTTTTAGCTCGGCGTTGGCTTTAAATGGTCCAGAGAGGCAAGGGAGTAAAGGAAAGCGGGTCTCTTTTGGGGACGACGGGGTCTAATTGGACATCTCAGAGGAGGAACAGGAATCCTGACTGTCCCTGTGTTTGTGTAGTTCTGAATGATACAGAATTGTGGTGATATGAAAAAGTGAACMGAGCTTTTAGAAATCCTTGGCATGAATTATTTACATATTTTTAACTCAAATATTTATAAGTTTATGAAGTTTTTTATTGACAAAAGTAGAAAATCTGTCATTACTTTCTGCTCTTAAATCTATTTTTCATGCGTTTTTTTCTTGTCTTCAGAATATGTAGCTGTTCTTTAACATTTCATAGGGATCATTGTACATTCGTTGTGATGTGCGGCCTCAAAAACATCCACAAGTTAGCGTTCAATAATTTAAAATCCCATCCTTAGATGCTTATGATGAAATGCACTGAGCTGCTTTGCCCTGTGTAGTTCTGGAAAGTTTATAAATCCAATAAAAGAAACACTAATAAGATCAGACAGCTAAATCAAACCCCTGTTAATCTCTGCAGAGATTAACTTTATTAGCTTTATTTATTCGAGTTGAAGAGGTTTGGGAATATGAATAAACAAGTGCAGTCCACCTCGTAGCAATGTATCTGGTTTGATCCTCAGCTGAGCTAAACTTCAGGAAAAGAAATGACCAACGACGCTGCAGACAGAGCAGAGGAGCTGCTCCTGTGCTGCCCTCTAGTGGCCGCTGCGGGCAGGCGCAAAGATCTGTGGTGAACTGCTGCAAACTMAACAGAACTCAGCTAATTCAGTAAAAAGGGAACTCATAATATGAATAATACAGATGAAAATGTATATTTTGCAAATAAACAAAATATAATGATTTAAAAATMTGTAATATGTAGTATGTCAATAATTGAAAATTGCTAGATGGCGCTCATTGACCTTAAACTCACCCCCAAAGTTTATGACATACGAAGCACAGGATAAAAGATTTCCAATATTTACGTTACAAGTGACGTCATGTTTATTTGCTTTTTGTGATGGGGAAAAAAAACAAGGAATGCAATGAGATTGTGCTCAATGAGCACAACACAATGCAAAGATGTAGACTATAATACAAAACATCCCATCTACCAAATGTCATCTAAGAGTTTATGTTCAAATAAGAGATCATGATTTGCTCACTGCAGAGCAAATTTCATGCTGTGGCATGTGAACACTACAAATGAGTCCAATTTACGCTGCTTTGACGTCATGTTTTTCTCTCCACTCACGTGGAATACATGTGAGAAGAATTGCATCCATTATTATTATATTTGTTATTTTTAATTCAAATTGACAGCAGAGACTGCACATTAATATCCATATATCTTCTGTAACCTTGTGGCTGCTGGAGTGAGGTCTGTTTCTCCGCATATTAGGTCAAAATAGATGATTATGACAGAGGGCTGGGCCGCCATCTCTCTCTGTGCTGACACTATTTTCATTGTGGTCAAAGGTTCGCTTGTATCAAGATAGTTCGCACTCAAAAATAGCAACAACGGAGTCTATAAAAACGGGGTGGATTAGTCATCGCAACACATTAGATGGGATTAGCATGCACTTTAGCGATTACCACAAATGATGTAACGTGGAGTTTTTTTTCCACGACGGTGGAAGCGTCATCCATCAGTTGTGTCACTTGCGATTTAACCGCGCATGCACACAAGATGAGTACCTGCAAAGTTGATTATTGACATAAAATATATTTTTTATTATCTGATAACAGCGTCCTAACATTTACTAAACGTTAGCAGCGTTTTCTATATTAAAAAATAAAAAACATCAAAATTCGGCGTTGACAAACTCCTAGCTAAAACTGCGAAGTCGCGTTCAAGCGAAAGAGAAAAGGCGAGGCGGGTGTTGCTCTCGCTCTGAGTTCGTACTCTTTGTTGCATGCGTGCTGTGGGTGACAAGCGTCCCTGTCCGTGGAGAAAACAGCAGCAGCTGCAGCGGTAGCAGTGGCGGAGGTGTCGGGGGTATTTATTTATCGTCGCAGGCGACAGAGGGGAACGAAGCTACCCGGAGAGGAAGGATTTACAGACACCACTCAAGCATGGCTCCCCAAACGACAGCATCCTGTACCGGATCCACTCTGTTGCAGCCCATCAGCGAAATTATAAATCTCCCCGTTGACCAGGTTCGTGRTTTCACAGAACTACATCTCAAACGGCGCATTAATAATCGCAGTCATTGCTCTAATCAATTATTTCCATCAACTTTAGTGTATCCCGTGTAAATGACGCGTTTACCTCGCATAAGACGTAATAATTCCCGATGATGATTCACTGTCATCATAAGCAAGTCGAGCTAATGRCCTTTGTCTCCTCATTTTAATGTCCAAAAACCCAACAGAGGTGTTTCAACTGGGGTCTACTTTTCATCAGGACACCAACAAAAAGCATCATTATTTGACTTAAATGTTCTACAGAACTTGTCCCCAAACAGTGTGCATTAAGTCAGTTTAGAAATGAGAAAACCAGAAAACATTTAATAGTTTTGACTTCAAGTATTCTGATATTTAATGGTTCAGTTTTAAAGTGTAAGAATAGACTTTTTTTGTTTTAAAACTTTAGTTACACACAAGTTATTAACTTCTACATGCTGTCATGTCAGATGTGATCATTCAGGTGTATCAGCTAAAGAATTTATTTTTATTTTATTTTATTTCTTGAAACTGGGTGGGAATGTGTTGAGTTACTGTAGGTGTGGCAACCCTGAAATAACAAATGTGTAGTAGTGGTTTTTGAAAGTTAATCAGCTCCAGCTTATGAAATGAGCACAATCACTCATATAACAAGTAACTTTCTTACTATCCACCCACTGACTGGGTGTTTGTAAAGGATTTTAACCCTTCGGGTGAACATGTGTCAGCCTGTTCAGGTTTTAAAGGGGCTCAGGTTGTTTTTACATGTGGAGGCGTCATTCATTCAGCGGCCGAGTCCTGGGTGTGCTCACATCCCAATGGGCCTTTTTTTCTCCACATACCAAACATTTTTTCAACGTGACTTTCTCATATGCACCTGATGTGTTAGGCGTGTCTYGGAGGAAGTTGGTTTGCTCTGAGACTTGTGTCTAAAGGAGATGTTGGTGGTCTCTGGCTCCTTTAAAAAARGACCGCTTTGCTCTGTCACTCTCTTAGATGGGCCCACATCAACAAATGTGAAACTACTAAAGAACAACTCAAGCATTTGGGAACAATATTATTTTTTTTATCATAAGCTGATCTTGGGAGAAACAAGTCCTGTACTGACATGAGCTGAAAGGCCACTCCGTGAGGAAAAAAKCATTACTCCAAAACAAACAACATAAAAAAGCCAAATTATAGTTTACAAACACACACAGAGGCAAAGACATTGATTTTGGGAGACGTACTGTGCTCTTGTAGGGGTCTTGTAGGAGTGAAGAAACAGGAGTTACTGCCTCAAAGCAGGTCTCGGAAGGCCTGAGAGAAGGCAGGAACACTGAACTCTATTTTAGGCTATAAGGGAGAGAAACAATCTTTTCTGTTCGTGATTCATTTGTTGTTTAACTAAGAATGTTATGCATTTGTTAATCTTATGATTAACAAACAGAACAGAACAGAAAAGATTGTTTCTGTCCCTTATTTGGTTAAGAGAACTGAAGTCCTCCACCACAGGTTGAAATGATCTGTCATGGCCTAAAATAGAGTTCAGTGTTCCTGCCTTCTCTCAGGCCTTTCCGAGACCTGCTTTGAGGCAGTGACTCCTGTTTCTTCACTCGAGGTGACCCCTACACTCTGATGAAACTAACTGAACTAATGACTACATTTCGAGCAGGGGTGCCCAAACATGTTCCCTGAGAGGGCCAAAATTAAAATCAATCTGAGGGTCATGGGCCAAATGCAGTAATGTAGTACATGAAATYCAAATACTTCTTAAGTGAAGTTGTTTTACTTTTTATAATGTGCCAYTGCGGTTGCTCACATTCTTTTGTTTGTTTGTTTATTTTCAGTCCATGGACATGGAGAAATTTCAACYTATGCTCGGGCAGCAAAGGCTCATGGGACTTTTCATAATTTAAAATGAGTATATGGGGTCTTATAAAGGTGTGCAAATCTAGATAAGTGCWTAAATTTAATCTAAAGGCCATCYACCCCCCAGCTGCTCCCCYGGCGCCGAAACTGGCWGCRTGCTGCTCCACATGTGTTCACATGTGCGATGGTTTAAATGCAGAGACTCAATTTCCCCTCTGCGGGACGATAAGGGTCAATATTTATTTTATTTATTTAGTTACTTGTATTTTATATTTAATCTTAACATAATTCAAATATAAAATGAGTACCATGAGTTAAGACTATCTGACTACAGATCCTTGTACGTATAATTGGACCAATGGTTGAAAAGACAAAGTGGAAATATAGTGTTTCTACATAAGACAGGAGATTACAATCTATGAACCAGGACAACTGCTGGTGGGCCAAATCAAATGGCTTGGTTGGCCAACTTTGGCCACCTCTGATTTAGAGGAAAAAGGGAAATTTTCAAACAGCATCCTAGTCGTGAGGTATGGAGGTGGTGGTATCATGTTTTTTTGGTGTGTGTGTGTGTTTGTTCCCCAGGATGAAATGGTGTCCTTCACCAAATCGATTGACACAACGTCTCAAGARGTCAGGAAAAAATACAAACTTTGAGCGCAAACGGGCTTTCTAAATGGACAGTGACCCTCAGCAAAATGCCAAACTAGTTCCAAAGTGACTTCAGGACAYCAAAGTCAGTGTTTTGGAGCGACCATCACAAAGCKCTGATCRCAGTCTCTCAGTTTGTAGTTAGAGCTGAAAAGGTGGGAGGACTGYGACAAAATTCCAGTAAATTATTGTGAGAAGCTTTGACCTGAGAAATACAGATGAAAGGCAACGTAAAATACTAAGAACATGAATTTTATTCCTTTACATCAAGGTTCAAAACACCAGGTGTGTTTGTTCCACATTAGTGTATCCATTGAGCTGTGGCATTATTTTTTGCCTGATATTTTAAAAACCAGTTCACATACCTCAATAATGTCTTTGATAATATTTTTGATGGAACTCACTGATAGGAAAATTCAGAAACACCCAGCTGAATGGTTTGTGACTTTCTGACAGGAACAGCCTTGTTATCAGTAAAATTTGTCGTGTTAATTTAGTCTTTAGTAGCTCGGGGAACRTGACCAACCTGAAAACTCGCGTTCCTCTTGCTCTGTTATCTGGATGCTCATATGCGAACAGGTGTTTCACTGGATCATGACCTCGCAGGGGCCTGCCAAAGCGGTTTTTCCAACATTAGCACAGCTCTGATGCTCTGACTTCACTCCTCGCTCTCTCTGAACAAAGAACCTAAAACAACCCGTTTGTGCAGATTTTTCACTGCTTTCAATATTCTGAATTCACTGAATCTGCTGGTTCTGTTCTGACAAAGTGAGCTAAGATCACCATCAGATGGTTGCACTTCATGTTTTCACGACAGGGACCACAGGATGCCTCAGGAGCTGTAGAGAGGAAATCTCCACCCTTATGTGAACCAGTTTTATGAGAACAAAAGGAACAAAGCTAAGTGTTACAAGTCYTAATCATTATTGCAACAGTCATTGCAAAATAACAGATTTTTACCAGCAGTCCTAGAAATTATTTTTATTTTCGGACGAGTAGGGATTAAAAAGTTTGCAGTGTTGTTTAACTCGCTCCAACCACTTTCAAGCTGCATATTATAGACAGCAGTGTGGTTGGCAAATAAGCATGTTGGCTTCCTTCTAGGTCTGAGTGATGTTTAAAAAAACCTTGCGATCTATATTGTGATATAGAAATATAAAAAGTACAGGAATTTCCAACAGATGGCTTGAGTAACACTGKGTTTGCTGCCACCTTGTTGACGATGAACCTGCACCGATCTTAGCTCTTTGCTGTGCGTGTTACAAGCATGTTTTTCCTCTGTGTTTGAGAGTTGTTCTTGTTATCTTTTATTMTGCTGGGACCTGAGTATATGTTTCCTTTTATCGTGTAAAAATGTGAATTGTGTTTTYCCACCTTAAGTGTTGCATCTGTGTCTATCAAAAGGTCACACTATAATGTTTTAGACAACTTATGAACACTTTAAAGACATCTATGTTGAAGGTGGAACATACTGTAATTAGGGTTGGGCGATAAATAGATTTAATCCGTTAATTCGAATTTGCCATTTATAAAGATTTAATTGTGGGAAAATCTGGATTTTTTTTCTCCCACCAGTGCACTCTTTGAGTTTCTGTAGTTCAGAGGTCACTCCACTTGTCCCTCAAGATGCTTGGTACATGACACAACAATATYGCAGCTAGCAGAGAGGATCTACTTCCCCAACAGGCACTGTTTCTTCAGTTATCTGGAACTGGTTAGGTTTTTCAACCTCGGTCTTGGAGCAATGAACACCTCACTGCAAAATCTGTTTGAAGGCTCTTGCTACAAAAAGTAGGAGTACAACAAATTTGTTTCAACACCTGAAACAGAGGCACTCTGTTAAGAGGGAAACAAAATTGCTTAAAATCAAAAATCTAATTTGGGATGAAAAAAATCTGGGGTTTTATTTTTGGGCCATATCGCCGAGCCCTAACTGTAATGCTAACAAATTGATCAAATACAGGGGTTAGACAATGAAACTGAACCACCTGGTTTTAGACCATAACATCCCTTTCAGACAGCTTCCTCTTGCGTCCACAGTTAATCCTGTTGGATGTGGTTCATCCTTCTTGGTGGTATGCTGACATTAACCCTGGAAACTGTGGCTCTTGATACATCACAAAGACTTGCTGTCTTGGTCACAGATGCTCCAGCAAGACG